AATGTGATCAGCCTAGGGAGGTGTGCCGGCTCGATGGTTGTACTTCCGGGGAAATGCGTGTCGCGTATAATGTGTAGGGACTCCTCACTTAAGTTGGGCACTTTACCAACATTTGAGGCAGCCTACCGAGGGGGTAGTTTTCGAGAGGATCTTCGTCTATTTCCCAGCAAAACTTTTGCCAAGAGACCCTCCTTGCTTTTCTTGTTTCTTTTTTAAATAGTGCAAGACCAGAACAGTTATTTATGGGTAGGTAATAAAGCAAAAAAAGGCACAAGATGAGAGCGGGATGTAATGCAATGCAATGAGTACTTAGTAACAAATTTAAATAATGTTTTTACACAGATTAAAAAGCATACACTCGCAAAATAGTATAGATTATCTATTCCAACGATTTGCGGAACATTGATATTGACGAAATCAAAAAAGAACCCAAAGCTCAAAAAGTGATTGACGCAACCAAAATACTTAAACAGAAAGACAACGTACTCCATGAAACCGGACTCATCATCGTTAAATTCGACACACCAACTCTACCCCAACATTTAATGATCGGTTACGAACGAGTGAACGTACGTCCACAAACACCTCGCCCCCTCAAATGCCACAACTGCCAAAAATACGGCCACCCTTCTAAATACTGCAGATCCGCAAAGATCTGTATAAACTGCTCGGAAGTTCATCCTGCTGACGATGAACTATGCTCTAAGCCAAAGTTTTGTAGTAAGTGCAAATTCAACACCGACATTCAGAATAACCACAGCCCCACAGACAAAAATTTCCCAGATTTCCTCGAACAAAAAGAAATCACAATAATGAAAGCAATAGAAAGAGTAGATTTGACCACCGCAAAGAAAATTTGCCACCAACGGAACACCCAACGAACACCGAAACATCTACCTCATCATCACACACCTTAAACCTATCACACCGAATAAGACCAATCAAAGACTAAGGAGACATCACCTCAAACACACATCCAATCAAACCTAAGCCAAAATAATACAATGGAACATCCACGGATACAAAAATAGCTATGTAGAACTACAAACACTCATGAAAGCCCAAAACCCTCAACTTATAGACCTACAGGAAACCCACATAACTAAGCCCATCACACTTCCAATCCCTATTAACTCTACCCTATACTGCAACAATAACCCCACAGATGCGTTCGGTGGAACAGCTCTCCTCATTCACAACACCATCTCCCATACCAAAATTCAACTCAACGCAGACTTCGACGCCGTAAGACTCACCATAAAGTCAAAATCAAATCTCAATATCATATACGCCTACATCTCCCTTAACAAATCCTTCAACACCCTTAACCTCGAAAACGTCCTCACCCCGACAAACGACCACACCATTGTCCTAGGAGACTTCAACAGCTGGCACCCCTACTAGGGCTCTCCTAAGGCCAACTGCAGAGGAAAAACAATAGCCTAATTCCTAGACCGTTCGAACTTTATCGTACTAAATGACAAGACCCCGACCCACTTCTCAACACACAATACTTTTACCCACATCGATCTCTCACTTTCAACAGCCAGAATTGCATCACAGATCCTTTGGGAAGTGATAGACGACCTTTACGGTTCTGACCATTTTCCCATCTTACTTTCGCTGTTCAACACGCCCTCTCCCCCGAACTTCACCCTTAAACGGGCTTTCAATCTCAAAAACGCAGACTGGAATCTCTTCAGGAAACATACAGCCCACATCATCTCCACAACCCAATGTCGCCCTAATAAAAAAAAATTACTTATCCAAAGTGCCCACCTATCTATCCCACAAAACACCACCTTCTCCCTCATCCGTATTGTTCCCTGGTGGAACAAACAACTTTCACTCCTCAAAAGAGACAAAGTCGCCAAATGAAAACATCTCAAACACAACATAACCAACCATAACATCATAGAATACAAAAAATCAAAGGCTAGTTTTAAAAGATCAATTAGAGAAACCAAACGAAAAGCGATCCTTGAATTCACAACCCACATACACCCTAACTCAGATCCAACCACAACATGGCCCAACATCAGACGTCTCTGCGGTCTTTACACCACAAAAAATATCCATGCCATTCATAACCCTCACACCCAATCGCAATCAAACTATCAATCCGAAATAGCCAACTCCTTCGCACAGACATGGTCAGAAGAAGCAGACGACTTAAACTTCTCCCCAACATTCCTCTCAAACAAACTCCTTATTAATACTCCTTCTAACTATACCCCAACACCATCAGCACTAAAAATCGAGAAAGATATAACATTCATCGAATATACAGCAGCGCTGTCCACCTTGAAAGGTCCTGGTCTTGACCGAATTTCTTACTCTATGCTAAAGAACTCACCCTACCCCCTTAAAACCAGAATCCTAACACTCTACAACAAGATACTCGACTCCTCCATCCCACAGTCCCTTAAACTCAGGCCCATCTTAAAACCACAAAAGCCCCAAATCGATATCAAATCATACAGGCCCATCTCTCTAAACTCATGACTTGCCAAAACTCTGGACAAGGTTGTTGCAAAAAGGTTGTGGTGGTTTGTTTTAAATAACAACCTGATCCACAACAACCAACTAGGGTTCAAAAAAAGAAAATCTGTACTAGACAGACTACGTTATGTAGACCACCTAGCTACCAGAGCCATCGCCCTAAAAAAACACCTCACAGTCATCTCGCTGGACTTCACCAAAGCCTTTGACAAAATTGGCATTCACACCGTAATAAACCAGCTAAAAAAAATGGAAGATAGGGCCACGAATACTTAATTATGTTAAGAACTTTATGTCCAACAGGAAAATCCTCGTCAAAACTGTCAAGCCTCTCAAATATTTTCCCTCTTAGTAATGGCATTCCCCAAGGCTGCCCCATCTCCGTTATCCTTTTCCTCATAGCATACAACTCACTCACCGATATCATCTCCCTCCACAAACAAATAAAATTTTTGCGCGTACGCCAACGACTTCCACCTACTTATCAATCACAACAAACAAAACCAAATAGCGACTGGTGCAATCACTCAGGTTCAATCCTCTTTAAGGAAACCCAAGATACTCACCGGTGGCACAACTATCCAAGCTACCGACACACTCCTAGGGCTCACAATCAACACCAAATACAATTGGAACTTTCATATCAACAAACTCAAAATTGACCTTGCTAACCCACTAGGCATAATCAAACCCCATCAAACACCTCATCACTAGTCAAAATTATAAATTCCATAATCATTTCCAAAATAAATTTCTGCCTTCCCATGTATGGATTTGCAGAATCCCAACTTAACCTCCTGAAAACCATCCTAAATACAGCATTAAGAGCCGCCCTTGGATCATTTCGTACCACCCCCCATAAATAACATGCTATCTGAAACTAACATCTTCATCATTGAAAGCAAACGAGACTACCTAACCGGAAAATCTCCAAAAACCTCATACACGGAAAATCCACCACCCTAAAGACCCTTACCAAAAACCATAGAAAAAAACACCGACTTCCCAGCACGGTAGACAGGGCCCTACAAATTTCCCAAAAACACCTCATCCCTTTTTCCCCAATCAGAACCTACACATCCAAAAAATTCAACATCCTTACCATCCACAAATCAACAAATATCAACCTCTCCAAACACAACAAAAACACCACCCCTACAATTGTCTTCCACCAACTTTTCCACTGTATTAAATCAACTCTCCCCAAACACAACTTCCTCTACACAGACGGCTCCAAAGCTGGGGGCATCACCAGCTACTGTATTACAAACGAGTCATCAGTAATAAAATCAGGATTGCTGCCAGCATACTCATCCGTACTCTCCAGCAAAATAGTTGCAATACACGAAGCCATCTTATTTACCCGAAATAAACGTGGAAAATATGCTATATGCACCGACTCCCTCTCCTCTATCACCGCAATCAGGAACCACAACAATCACTCCTACACGCATCCTCGATCAAAAATCTATTATCCATTTCTCAAAGATCTTAATAATCACAGTCACATAGGCATGAAAGGCAACGAAATCGCAGACTCTGCAGCCAAGATGAACACCAAATTTCCCCTCATTTACACCCCAAACCACAATTCTACCGATATTGCACACTTCCTACATGGAACATGGTACCAACAAATTAGCAACCTCGCTACCAACAACACCCCCCCAAAGAACAATATCCTTAATAGAAGGCACCAGGTCATAATTAATAGACAGACTGGGCCACACCAAGCTGACCAACGCCTACTACATTGACAAAAAATTGCCCAAGACTTGTCCATTGTGCCGCAACGCGAACATAGACTTGCGACACATACCATACAAATGCCCCTCACTCTCCTCTCAAAGGTCCCTATCATTCAAAAACAAAGACCCCATGCAACTGATCTCAAATCCCACCAACGAAAATTCCAAAACTATCCTCAAATTCCTTGTAACCGCAAATCTCCTTCACAAAATATAACCGAGCATACTGTAAATACCCATCCCAACACCTCTGTAAATATATATAAAATCTGACCCAATTACCCTAGAGCTTAAGGCCTCAGTAGCTATAGCTCCAACACTTGTTAATATTTAGTTTTAACTAGCTATTAGCATTACATAAATAAATAAATAAATACAAAAAATAAATTATTTTACGAAAGCACCGGCTGTTTATGCAAAGCGGAGCGCAGAACAAAACACGTCTGGTCGCTGCGAAAGAGAACGAAGGATTGAGCTGCGAGAAGGCTCGGCTGCATAGCAGAACTTAAATCTAAATCGATAATCACCGATCATTAAAAATGTTTATAAACCGTATTCAACCCCTGTTTTGTATCGCTTAAAAACGAGGCGTCATCGGGTTATCTTGTTTAGTACTTGTCCTATCTTTTCTCATTTACCCTTCTGAAAATGCTCATTAGCTCAACAGAAGTATTATTAATTTATTAATATTCATTATTTTACGTATATATTATATTAAACTTGTTGTATTTTCAACGTTATTATTTCCAGGTGATTATCTGCGGGAGAAATACGAAGAGGCAACCAAAGTGAAGTTAAATAAACGAGGACGCCTTCAGGTTAAGGATTCGCAATTTAAAGTACCCACAGCGCACGACCTTATTTACATAGATGAAAGTCCCGACTGGTGTCGAAGTAACTATGTTCTGCATTGGCCTGGTAATTGTTTTAAAATAGTTCATTTAAATGCACATTTTGATAATCTTTTTTATCAGGTACGCATGGACGGGTTTGTCACAAGAGCTCGTCGGGTCTAGATAGCTGTGCCATACTTTGCTGCGGTCGAGGCTATAATACCAAAAATATTGTCGTCCATGAACGGTGTAATTGCAAGTTCCATTGGTGCTGCCAGGTTAAATGCGAAGTTTGTACAAAGGTACTGGAAGAGCATACATGTAAATAGAATATTTAAAAGCAACGGAATAGTAATATCCAAATGTTCATTGCATAGCCATTATATATTTAATGGATACTTACAAAAATTATTTATTGAAATCAATAAGTTACAAAATCGATCATTCTGCTTTCTGGTATTTATTTTTTAACAATTAAACAGGTTACTAAATCATTCGATTTTCATTCCTGCGAAATAACTATAGAGTTAACTTATACTATTTAAAGATAGTTAAAATTAAGGCTTGCTTTATTTCATATATATATTTTGCCTCACGAATTGGGAAAATATTGTAACATGCGCTTTCATCCGAACTCGAAATTAAGCATGTATGTAACTACTTTTTTAAAAAACTATATTCGTAATAATTTGTATTCAGCGTAAAATAGCTTCGATTTTTAATGCTTCTATCCTATTAGTAAGTTTAATTCGTAAAACGAGTGTATTTATAAGTCAGAAAAATTGAAACTGATTTTAAAATATACAAATTGATGATTGTGACGTGTAGCTAATAATTCGATTTTAGCGCTAGAATAAGTTAAATTAGATCTAAGTAGATGCAATGATCAACCTATGCTCGTAACGTAACTTACTTTTGTAAGTATACATCTATATGATTTAGAATGAATTGTGTGTCTTCTAATGTATGAGAGCACATCTTTCAATATAAAATGTCCAATTAGTGTTCCAAAAAGTTAAGTCGAACTATTGATAATGAAATATCGGCTCTCAACTGTAGAATCATATGCAAATTACGAATAAAAAGATTGTACATGTGGAAATCAAATTGATTAATCGTGGTTTTCTTAGATATTTGTTAAATACTTATTATCATATCCTAGTAGTAATTAAAAAACTATATATTTTACTTTTTGATTTTAGTTTTTTTTTGTTCTCTCTTTTAATCACAATGAAATTTTACTGAATTGAAATGAATCGTGCTGTGTTCCTGTTCGCGTTCATGTTTCTACTATTGCGACCAAGGGGATGTTGCCCTTGTCAAGGCAAGTCTCTTTGAGAACAGAAGGGTGTTTGAAGTAGACAAGGTTATATTTTTAGAAAATAGTACCTCAACAATTACCGGTAATATGGATGATAATTTTTTCAATGTCGGCAGCTAATAGTATTTTTTTTTGCTGCTATCTATGCTATTATATTCTAGGGAAACTTGCGACAACACACCTGGGGCAACACTAATCATTTAATTATCTAGCAACATCGTCTACATAATTGTGTAATCGATACAAAGCAAAGTCCAATGGCCCAACATTTTTTTGTTCTTCCGTTTAAGGAATCAAACCTTATTTTTAAAAAAATACCAAAATTTTGTGTTTGTAACTGTTATTAACTGTCAAGAGCATTTGGGAAGGTACCGAATGGTATTCAACGATAGCTTGAACGCCTATTATATTGGTCGACTTTTCCGGAGTTTTTAAAGTCAAAACTTTGCATTTGAGAGCTTAATATTTCCCAGACGGTAAGCTAAGGTACAAAATGTTTGGGTCCAATTCAACCAGATGCGTTCACAAAGTTAGCCTTCCTTTTGGGACATAGTATAGACATCTCTGAAATGTCATTTAGAAAGACCGAGCCCAAGTGTTGTAGCCTTCTTCTGCTGAGAGCTGGACAGGAGCAGAACAGTTGTTCCACTGCCTCCTCCACCAGATCTGGCCAATTCGTCTATGCTGTCGCTACAAATGTTTATCCGAGCTGACATAACGGCAACAGATTGAAGGCAGTTCAGAGCTTCCCAGATCAATATGACCTCCGCTTGGAAGACCAGCTTGTCCAGCTTCGATCCATCTGTAAATATGTTGTGGGCCTGGGAATCATTGTACATTGTAGCCAGTTGATGGACATTTCCCCGGCCTTTGAAGTTGGGCCGGAATTACTGTGTCCGGACCTGGCGATTTGAACGGGTTGAAGCTGTTTACTGCCTAGCTTATGTTCCGTTTTGTAAGGATGTATTCCATCGAAGTTACTAGGGAGATGCGCCAGCTCGATGCTTGTATAGTCGTCGAAGATTTTTTCTCGCTCCGGCATTTTCTACCCTTTGATTAAATATCATACGACATCATCAACAATCTGGAAACCTATTCTATTCCGGGAGTGCATGCCTTTTGATTTGTGTTAAAACATTATTTAATTTTTTATTTTTCGGCGTCGGCTTGTCGTGTTTGTGTTGTTGCAGTGAGTGAGTACGCATTACATTGCATTGCAGTCCGCTCTCGTCTGGTAGCATTTGTTGTGTTATCACTATCTCCCTATCACCTAAACTTAAATAACTGTTCTTTCTCTCTCGCTCTCGTAACTTTCTGTTCAGTAGCTCTCTCTCTCTCATTAGCTGCTGCTGCAACTGTTCTCCTCTCCTCCTATTAGCGTTTGTCTGGCACACTGGTTTGATAGCCATTTGTTTTGAAATATTTGATTTTAATTTTGTTCAAATTTTGTATTATGGAGTTTTCTGTTGTATGTGCCAAAAAATCATGCGATAAGCAGATCACCCACGATCTGCCGATTATTCCCTGCTGGTTCTGCGACAGCGTAGTGCACGCAAAATGCACTGGATTTTCTGGCCTTGTGAGTGATGCCATTTCAAAGCGTAATGGTTTGCAGTACAGTTGCGGAGCATGCCGTGCGGTGGAGAAAGACATGGTAGCTTTTATGAGGCAGACGCGGAGTGGCTTAAAGGAGCTGACCGTTGGTTTTAAAAACCAATACGATCGGCTCCTAGCCCTGGAGGCTCAGTTTAGCGGTTTAAAACTGCTGAATGAGTCTCCGAGGCGCAAAAAGGTTGCTCCGCGGGATCTGCAAGTGCAACCGTCACTCGCCGTGCGCCGCCGAAAAACTGACTTCGACCACTCCAAGTGTGCAGCAGTTGATCTCGTTTGCCACTCCAAGGGCAACGACAGCTGCTGGCGATGCAGATTCGGTAGCCGAATTCATCGCCTCGTAGAATGTGCAGCCAAGTACGTCTGCAGCGTCCCGTCTATCCCGATCCCACCAGTAAATAGACGTTCCGGACCTCCAGATATTGCCACCACAGGTACTAGTCCTATGGTGACTAAACCACTGGTGGGAGTCCCACCAAACCGACAAGTTTTTGTTTCACGGCTGGCCTCTGACTTCACATCTAATGATGTAATTGCTTTTATTCAAAGCAAAATAAAAGCCGGGGGTTTAAAGGTGGAGAAATTCTACTTCTCTTATGCCAGGGAGATAGCCTCGTTTGAGATAAGCATCTCCCCAACCCAATTTGACACCATTTGCTCCGCCAAATTTTAGCCGGAGCATTTGGTGGTGAAGGAGTTCAAGGCTCCCATATCCCTTACAAATCTTTCCAGTGTGCCACCCTCAACCTGAACTTCCTCTTCCTCAACTTCCTGTCTTGCTTACACCTTTCCAAAAAACTAACTTTTCTTTTAGTAACTTTTTGCATTTGCTTCCCACGTTATTGTGCTTACCGAAACCTGGTTAAAGCCGGACATTCTTAGTTCCGAGGTTCAAACCGTTCGTCTCGACGTGCAGGAGGGGTTCTGATTGCAGTGAACTCTAACTTTGCTTCGGAACACTTCACAGTCCAAGTCCAACAGGAACTGGAATTCCTGTGTGTAAAACTGATTCTTCCCGCTTTCGCTATATTCATTACTTGCTCATATATTCCACCTTCTACGGATATTTCAATTTATGAGCAGCACTTGTCCGCTTTAACCGCTGTTTCTTCCTCGCTATCTGATAAAGATCGTATGATAGTTCTTGGTGACTTCAACTTGCCAGGAACTGTTTGGTCTTCGGTAAACGAGTCTAGTATCCTAGTGCCCATGTCACGACATGACTTTGTTGACGATTTTTTTGACCTGTCCCTGTCTCAAGTCAATCATGTGAAAAATTCCTTGGGTAGATTGCTTAATCTGTGCTTTGCATCCGATCCGACCATAGTGTTGTTAACCCGAGCCCTTCCGCTCCTTATACCTGAAGACGCCTACCATCCAACTTTCGAGGTGTCGCTAGATATAGGACCAACTGTATTGGATCGGTCGAGTAGACTACCTGAACGTGTCCGCTGCTTTCGTAAAGCCGAGTTTGCGAAGCTTAATAACCACATTAGGGATTTTTATTGGTCCGCTTTATACTTGTGCACTGATGTCATAAAAGGCACAAACATTTTTTACAATGCTCTTGGCACATTTTTTGATTCTTGTGTCCCACTTTCTTGTCCGATTAGATCTGGAAAACCCCCTTGGCTTACCAAAGAGTTATCCAGTCTAAAAAACTTAAAATCAAGACTTTATACAAAATTTCAAGAAGTGCGTTCTCCTACTTCTCACTCTCGCTATGTAGTAGCTCGGTCAAACTTTTCAGTTCTTAATGCTCAATGCTATAAGAACTACCTATCTCGATGCAGGATACGTTTTTTTCAGGACGCTAAACAGTTTTACTGCTTCGTGAACAGTAAGCGTAGAATGTCCGCACACGCATACTCGCTATCATTTCGTAATACGTCGGTAAATAATGATCAGGCAATTGCCCATCTATTTGCCCAATTTTTCCAAACGACCTTTTCTAAGGAAAGCTACTCTGGTCAACCGTAGCCATACGGTTTACCGAAGTCGAACGGCATTTTCCTAAAATTTTCGAGAAGGTTTTAGCTCCGCACTTGCAACATCGCTGCAAGTCACTTATATCTCCAACTCAGCATGGATTTATAAGGCGGCGATCAACCACCACGAATTTGTTAGAGTTTACCTCTTTCATTATTAAAGGCTTTCAAGGTAACTTACAGACGGATGTTATTTACACCGACTTTAGTAAAGCATTCGACTCTGTAAACCATTCCCTTTTAGCACATAAACTTGACCTTTTAAGGTTTCCGCCCAACGTCAGGAATGAGGTAGAAGGACTGATGTCACCCAACCAGCATGCCTATACCATAGGGAAATCAGTGGAGACGGCACAACACTCGCTAGTAGCCACCCTCGAGAACGCCCTTCACAATAAAAAGTGTGGACTGGGAGCATTTGTTGACATCTCCGGACCATTCAATAACGTGGCCACAACCGCAATAACAATTCGCCTAGAAGCGAATAACATACACCCAGCAATCAACCTTTGGATCAAGAACCTCCTAAGTTGTAGGCGGGTGCAATCCGAGTGGGACACCGCTTCAATTGTGAAAGGAAGTCCTGTCGCCACTACTGTGGAATCTGGTGGTCGACGACCTCATCAAAAGATTTGAAAGGAAGACCCCAAAACTAACAGCTTATGCAGATGACATAAGCATACTTATTACGGGTGTATGTCCATCAACCCTCAGCTCCTTAATGGAACGTGCACTCAGGAAGATAGTGGGCAGAAGAGGTAGGACTCAGTATCAACGCGGACAAGAAGGACCTCATCCTCTTTACCAAGAGGTACAAGGTTCCGATATGGACCCCCCGATAATTGACCAAACTAGGCTGACCCCGAAAGCACAGGTGAAATACCTAGGCACAGAACTGGACAGCAAGCTGGCATGGAAACCCAATGTAGTGGAAAGGATTAAGAAGGCCACCATTGCGCTTTATGCATCCAAGAAGATGCTCAGTAGCACATGGGGCCTGTCACCTGCTCTAATGCACTTGATCTACATATCGGTGGCGCGACCAACTCTGCTGTATGGAGCCTTAGTGTGGGGGCAAGCTACCAAAAAGAAGACATACCATAAGCTTATG